ACTTGACAACCTGCCACATTGTATACATGATAGTCACACATTCTACTATTATGCAATGGGTTTTAGGTTTAAATTCCATCCCTCCTAATTTGGCAGAGACAACCACCTCATACTTGACATGTTACATACTTATTATTGTACGCTTTTACATCGTGAACTAGAAGTACTTGTATTCCAGCTGAACATGGCACTCATCGCTTTAATTGCCTCAGCTTTATCCACCTTTCCACTGATTTATGATAACCACATGGATACTAGACGCCCATATGCTAACACCTACTGATCATTTAACTCTGTAAGTCAAAAACTAATATCTGTTAAGAACATGTGATTATTAGATTCTAATATCTTAATGGGTACTGCTCCGGTGTTTGAAGGAATTGGTCGTCTGTTCGGACCCTAGCATGGACGTCGTCACTCACTGGAATGCAGATGCATCTAATTGACGCATATACAAAGAATAAAATGAACCCCCCTGGTTTCCTCTCTTCACCATTGACAAATGCATAAATAAGCTATTTTGAAGGAGACAAAAGAGTATTTAATCGGTAGATGACCAAGTCAAGTAGAAAGAGGAGGCAACCTTCAACGTTATACGAAACGGTATTGGTTAAATCTCTATACTTTTATATAACCTTAATACAACAATAAAATTAACAGAGTTAGAGCAGTAATTAAGAAGAAGAACAGAGAGACACATGATAAAAGGGAACAAACTAATATGACATAATCAAATGTTCGATTTTTTGAAAGTGATCAACAATGAAAATATATGAACCATTGCAGTCAATTTTAAACTATGTCACCTATAATATTCACTCATTCCATTCAGGTGTAAACTTTTCTTTATGTTTTAAAATAAAAGTAGAAAATCCAATTTATCTTTATTAATCATTCTTAATATTAGAATATTGAATATGATAGTCTGATTATAGAAATGAAAAGTGAACCATGAACATAGTGTACAATCAAAAACTTGCTAGATTCAAGATAAAACTTGTAGATTGTAATGTTTCTATGGTTATATACTGATCGCCTAAAAAGTTGTTTCAACACTTATTTGTATACATATATTGATCTGTTGTATGTACTTATTAGTCATGTGTTAATTGAGGTGATGTTTAAGTCTTCAGTAGTGTTTGAGTTGTACTGGTCATAGAAATTAGTGTTATATCGAACAACATTACCTACTAACACCCTAATTCAGAGGACAACTCAATTTAAGCATCTACATCTCTCTAGCTACAAATATTCACCACAATTTTTCTCAATGAAATTGTTTATTGGATAGATTGTAAACAGTGCCAACCTGAAATCAATAAATAAATCCCCACAAATTCAATTGATCTAGTGCTCGTTGGTGATTCCCTTCGAGAGGTGGTGATTCCCGATGTCCTAATAAGAAGTCGTGATTGGTGGGGCCAACGAAGTTGGATATGCGGACAGATACTCAACAACGGCATTGGATCGACATTGTGCTATATCGTGAACTGATAGAAGTAAGAAATATGGACCATTGGATTCCAACCCATTGGTTCAGTGGTAACGTGCTGACAGCGGGAGCTGAGGGTTCTTGATTCGATCTCTGATGGCTTCACGGGTGCAAACCGCTGAAGAGTCCCATAATAGGACAAAGCATATGTCCAGTGCTTCTAGGTTTCGAATGTTTCTCCATGATGAATGCCGCCTTAAAGTCAATAAATGGATACCCACTAATCTCCAACCTAAAATTCAACACAGCCTATGCAAACAACATCTGGCTTCTATTTCCTGATTTAGTTCTCATTCGGTTTCTCTGCCTTGGATGCTGGCTCCTCTCTCCAGAATATCCATTAATTGACTGTCAACTCTTACTAATTTTATCTACCATATTACATTGTATACTACTTACATTATTTTAAGTAGTACTCAAGTGAGTTATGCGATACTGCCGTAAATTATACATTATACGAGCTATTTTGAGGGTCACCACGAAGAATGTTATTTAGACTTTAAGCATTATGATGCCCTACATCATCCACGAAATTCATACCACAATCTGTCCAGTTCAGTCACGCAATCAATGGAATGCTTTCAAGAATCCTTCAGCCAAGATGAATCTTTTTTTATATAACAGTGGGTTACTAAATCATCGTATAAATGATGTTTTAATCTTCAATACTTGTTAAACCCTGCCGATAGCTAGGTTTACACTTGTGAGCCAAATGGTGTAGGTATAATTTGTCATTGCCGCTTTGGTTGGACAATGAAGACATGAGAGGGCTTCTGCTGTTTGACCACTGTTGCCTTCTCAACGTAAACCGTGTGTCGTGGTGTCATTACATAAGTAACGTAGAAGTCAGACGTTGAGTTTTAGGGAGGAGAGGTAAGTCAGTTGACGCTCCTGTAAACCTTCATGGGTTGAGATAGCTGGGACATATGATACGTCTACCTCGTCGCTCAATGTTGGCCGAAGTAGGTTCAGGCTGGAGAAAGGGTCGGGTTGGTCAGGCTAAATTATGGCATCAATGCATGAAGTCCTTAACTGCTGGTTTGAGCCACGTATGGGGATGCAGACTAGTCGGTTACTGTTCACGCGACTACAGAAACAAGGGGTTGGAGACTAGGTGACATGGATTTATCCACACATTATCTTCATTTTAACCGCTATACTGAATTCAGTGTTTTCTCGTTCCCTTCTTTTTTTTTGTTTTCTTCTACCAATCTTCCTCTCTTCCTTTATGTCTCATCTTACTTCTCTGTTACTTGTTGTTCTGATAAGAGACGTGGCAACTTCGTTGAGTATTTGTCCTCACGGTCACCAGCTTTGCCCCATCAGTCACGACTTCTCATTGGAATTTCAGGAATCAACTCTCGAAGCGAGTCACCAATGAACACTAGATCAGTTGAATTTGGGGGTTTGTGGGGATTTACTGTTCTTTCAAGTTGGCGTTTATCATGGAATGACATCAGTTGGAGGAACATTGGAAATCTCAGAGTACTGAACAACTGTTTCGTTCTAGTATGGGACTCCTCAGCAGTCCGCACCCTTGCTTTCTACTGATTTTTCATTCATTTTTATCACATACGTCTGTCTATCTGTCCAAAAACGAAAACAAATCCGAGGGTTTATCTTAAGATGCTCCGTAAACGTTCATCTTGCATTCTCTAGTGAGAAAATATTTTAATACAGATGAAATAGCAGTTCTGTATCATTTGTGTATCCGTAAGAATTTTCTATCATCGTCTTATTCTCAACACTTTGAGTACTCTAGTACTCAAAGAATTCAGCTTTTCTCTGTACTTAATGACTTGTCTAACAAATTCATACAGACTTTTCAAATATTCCGATTTGATTACAGGTATGTGATGGTAGCCAGTGTTACCAAGATCAGCAGATTAAGTATTATTTGATAGCTAAAAATCTTTGCTTGTTACTTTTATGATTATGAAAATTCTCTGTATTATTTGTCTTTTTGTTGTATTTAAGGTTAATTGCCATTTTACGTTTGTTTTGCATTTTTTGTTGCTATTGGGTCTCATTAGTCAGTAACCGCTCAATAAGAATCATGCATCTTGTTATATAAATCATATCTATTGCATGACAGCTGATAGTATTCGGTGCTTGCTCATAAATCTTAGTGGATCGACTAGGAATGATTCGAACCTGTGATCAAATAAAGAAGCTGAAACTTCAATTTTTGTTAATATAATGCGATATTTTGTGTAATTCGTATAAAAAATTGAAATAATTCGTCATGATAGATACTAAATCTGTTTATGCTTGCCATGTTACTCGTTTTCTGGTCACTTTTGTGTTTTTCACCTTTTCAACTCCATATTACTTATAACTTTTAAGTAGTATTGCGGTGTACATTTCACCTTTTGACCTTCACCACTACGTGACTCTTTCCTCCATAGTATGTTCGTATTTAGCATGTTCAAATTTCAGTATATTAGCTGTTATTCTCGCTTCTCAGCTGTATCTTTGACCTCCTTAACTCACTTTTCATTTGTCCTATTATCCTTTGAATCTTTATCTTAACCCCTTCTGCTTATCCTGGGCTTCCTTTCGTTCGCCTTTCAGTCTTTACCATTGTTTGGTTTTGATATTGCCGTGTGATGTTTATTTTGTTTGTTGGTGCGTGTTTTGGACACCGCTTTTGTCAATTTAATCGATATCCATACACCTCATCACTTGAGATTTGTAATCTTACTGATCATTATTGTTATTTGTTAACACAGTAGCATGTTCTAGACGAATCAAACGTTTTGCCTTCAAGGTTTTACGATTAACTTGATCGTCTGGTTTCAGATTACTGAAGTTTTAGTTAAACGCTTTGTCTTGGAGTTCCTGAGTAAATCCTGAGGTAGATGTATTTAATCTTGTTCCTTGGTTACTTCTGCATCCCTTCCGTTGAATGCATTTTAATAAAATTGTGGTAGTGGATTGCAGATTGCGAGTTTTAATCATTTCTGTTCAGTATAACCTAGTTCTTTCTCATTTTCATATTGTGAGTTTAGCACAACATTCTATTGGTGACGAAATTAGTATATGAATCTTGGCAGTTAACATTCTGCAAATACATTTGATGAATGGGTCTCTAATAGGATGGAAAACTGCTAGGTTCATTGTGGAATTTCTCACCACTGAGTAGTTTTCTTCAACTCCCGAAACATGGTGTCAGCACGGTTTGTCATTTGAAACAAAGGCCACAAGGTGTGGTCTCTGACACAAATGTATCGTGATGTAGCGAACTGTACCAAAGAATAACGTAAATAGTTAGAAAGTACTTAGTAATCTACAGATTTCACTAGTGAGATTAGAATGGTCTAAATTACCGGTTAGCAAAATCTGGAGATCAGCGTAAATAGTTTCTAACTACTCATATTGCTCAGTAGTATACTTTGTTAGGATGAAAAATATGTTGGTAATTCTTCTACCAATCACCACTATCATAGTACTATCTCTAAAAAAAGATGTTTGTGACAGTTTTTTCTTTTATTCCTTATACTTCTAGTTGTATCAAATGATGCGTTGGAAATGGGACAGTCATTTCCTGATCAGTGTGATATTGCTGTTGAAGAGGATGAAGATATCACTAACCTGCTTATGACACCTTTACTTCTTGGCAGATCACCTGTCTCTGACAATGATGATATCCACTTCCCTGAGGGTTTTAATAATAAAACTGATAAGACTGTTTTAGCTAATGTCATTACTCAAAATGTGGAAAGTGATCGAACGTCTAATTGGATGTCATCCATGATTCATTGTAAAGAACGAAATATGTCTGAACTTTCTGATATGTAAGTCCACTTAAAATTTGAATATAATTTCGTGGGTATTTACTAGTTCATATGAATATTTTTGATATCCAACAATTTTATTATTGATAATTGAGCATATAGTTGCTAACGGAATCTCACCTGGTATAGAGAAAGCCCGTTTGGCATTTGCCAACTTGTATCATCTATTGTGCCAACTGACGAGATATCTGATTACCTATCAAAGGACGAGTATACTGCGCTGCAGTCCGTTCTGTCATATTGTACAGCTGTGAGACTTGACCGTTAAGGCAAGACAGACAAGTTAATTGATGAGTTTGTGAAGCTTAGTCGACTGAGATGGCTTGGACATGTACTGCACATGTCGAGCCACCCCCTGACTCGACATGCTACGCTAGAGAAAGTTAGATTAGATTGAAAGAGGGTTGAGGGTGGACAGACTTAGATATGACACCAGTCGATGAGGTCTCTTAATTTTGGTCTGAGTCATGTGAGGAGATGTAGACTGCGTGGTTGGTGTGCTCAAGACGAATGAAGTCAGTGGTTGTGGACTCTTAGTGACATAACTGAAAATTGGTCACGTTGGCGAAGATGTATTCACTTGTTAATGTCGTCTAAAGCTTGAATATTTTCACTAACCATTACCTTTAGATTATTTATTCTTTCACACAACTTTGTCCACTGTCAAATCACCCTTCTTCATCCACTTTTTCTTTGTTAAGTGTGGAAACTTTAGTCAATCCACTTGTGTGTGCAGTTCCACACTGATTTTATCACTGTCAGTCAGTTAGCCAAAATCGAAGTGAAAGATCGTACTGATTGATATCGGTGATCTAGAAAAAATTTAGTTATTGGAAAATGTACATTCAATAATGTGCGATAAAGCATGTGTACTAATTGCCAATATATTTAAATGGATAACGAGTTTGTATACGAAATCTTCTGTTCATCCAATTGACAACCAATATATATAATAGTCAGACTTGAAGATCTACAGGCGAAAACTAGCAAGTTGACAAAAGAGGCAGCGAAGATGGGACTTCAAGTGAATATAGAGAAGACAGAGGTGATGAAGATACCCAACCAACAACAACAAACATCAATCACCATCAACGGGAGAAACTTAAAGGAAGTAGCCTCTTTCACCTATCCAAGCAGCATCGTTTCAACTACAGGCGGCACAGGCTTAGATGAGGATGTCGAAGCTAGGATCGGAAAAGCAAGACAGACGTTCATTAGCCTGAAACCAGTGTGGAGATCTTCTGCACTCAGCATGTGGAACAAGATCCGGATTTTCAACACCAAGTCAGTGCTTCTTTATGGCTCAGAGACTTGGCGCGTTACGAAAGGCATTTCCAACGAACTACAGACATCTATCAACAACTGCCTACACTGGCTCGTTACTGAAGCTCAGATGGCCAGAAGGAATAAACAACAAGGAACTCTGGCCGGGCAACGAACCAACCAAGAAGCTATCGCCCAACAAATATGGAGTGGAAGAAAGTGGAGATGGATTGGATTGGACACACACTGAGAAGACCATTCGGGGACATCACGCGCCAGGCCCTCGAGTGGAACCTAGGTGGGAAGCGATGAGTGGGGCGTCCGAGGTTGACATGGAGGAGATGGTGTGAGGAAGAAATGAGAGCTTCTGGGCTGTTGTGGAGCCAAGTTCAAAAGTTTGCATAGAACAGAGTTCACTGGAGACGTGCTACTGAAGCCCTATGTTCCATTGGGAACCCAAGGGACAAATAAATAAAATAATAATACATATAATAGAAATGATCCAACAACTATACTGGAGATGTAGAAATCCCTACTACTCTTGAAATCAAAGGATACGAGGTGATACAACTGAGAAAATCAGATATTGGGAGATATGATTAATTCGATATGATTATGAGCGATAAATTATCATCATAATCCCATCCATTAAATAATACTTTATCACTATTCGCTATATAAAATGAACAAATCTAGTAAAAATCCGTTTGTTTTGTATTCAAGATGCCATTTTTCCCTACCCGTACTTTCCCATTCAATCATTATCCGCAGTTTGAACCTATTAGTAAGCTATCTATTACATTAGAATGGCACTGCTATTTGTTCTATAACAAGTCTAGTATTCATTAAAGAAAATTAAATCTTTCACATCGAAATAATATAAAACAGTGTGTAGCGTTCGAGAAAGCTTTTTAAAAATATTTCTGTAACACGGTTTGTTTATTATATAGAATATTATAGTGACAACTAACTGATGTCTATCTGAGTTTCACTGTTTGTTTAACAATTCAATGTTCACCAGATACTACTAATTCACGTCAACAGTTCGATCATTATTATAACAGTAGGCGTAAACTATTGATCAGTCTGAAGTGATTCAATAATTGCTTGTTAACTTTGAAGGTTGATACCATCAATTGTATTAGGAGCACTATAAAATAGTTGGCGTATGAGTGATACACTAACACCAATGTTTGATAGATAGCATAAAAGTGAGCTCTAGAGTAAAACACCAGGTGTTTAATAAATTCAGTCAACGTACACACACACTCTCTCTCTCCACTCTTATTCAATTTTATCATCGATGTCCTTATGAAGGTCTCCTTCTCGACATCCAACTAGGCAGGGATTGACCTAATCACAGGAGAATTTTTGGTAGACCTAGAATATGCGGGTGATACAGTCCTGTTATATGAAGACGTTGACAAGATGCAGAGTCTTTTGGACACTTTGAGTGGCGATTTGCGAATGTTTGAGATGCGGTTCTCACCACCCAAATGCGAATTGTAGCTCCAGGATTGGTCTTCAACGGTGCCTCCGCTAACAACAGAGAGTGAAGCGGTTGAGTGTGTTGACCACTTCACTTGTCTGGGAAGTAGGATTAACCCTGATTCGTTGGTCAGTAACCGACGAAATCTTTGTACGGATACAAAAGGCTCGGTTGGCTTTAGCCAACTTACACCATCTGTGGCACCACCACGATATCCGACTAGTCTATTAAGGGTCCGGTGCACTCTGCTGCAGTCCACTTTGTTTTACTCTACGGCTGCGAAAAACAGTTATTAAAGGTAGAAAACATGAGGTTTCAGGTGGTTGACCAACGTTTCCTTCATATCATACGTCATCTTTCGCGATGTCACTACTTGAGTAACGCAGAAGTCAGGCGTAGAGTTTTAGGGAGAAGAGGTAAGACAGTTGACGCGGTTGTGAACCGTCATAGGTTGAGATAGCTGGGACATTTGTTATGTATGTCCAACCACCATCTGCCTCGTCGCGTAATGTTGGCCGAAATAGGTTCAGGCTGGAAAAAGGCTGGGGGTGGCCAGACTAAAATATGGCATCAATGCATGAAGTCCTTGACTGCTCGTTTGAGCCATGTTCGAAGATGCAGACTAGCCGGTCGGGGTCTGTCTTACAAGAGAAACCAGTGATTGGAGACTCTAGGTGATATGTCTCAGAACCGATGTTAGTGGCACAGATGTATGCACAGCTTATGCTCATTTTAACCGCTATACTTAATCTCGTTATCTTCTCATTCTTCCTTTTTCTCATTTACTACTTTCTACTTCCTTTGACCGATTTTTCCTTCCCTCTTCATCTTTTACTTTATTGCCTTGTTACTTTATGTGCTGATATGAGATGTAGCAACTTGGACCGTTACGCAGTAATGCCTGGTTCTATGATGGTACCACATGCTTATAAGAAGATTTTAATTTTTTGAAGTGGGTGAAAGACCGTTACGTAATTATATGAAAAACTATGTATACAAAATTTGTATGTGAATAGGACAAGTCAAGTATCATAACAATAGCAATTATGATACAAAGTTAATAAAACTAATGAGATTGAAGAGGTGTAGAGAAGAAGAAGAAGAGTACAAATGACAGGTTGACCATCGTTTCTAAATAAAGACACGTGTTATGTTTCGTTTGCTCGATAGCTACACAGCTTCAGCAAACTTCAGTGTGCTTGAAATCTATCTATTGACAATTCTGACAGCTTATGATACATTGATTGTATGCTCTGTGTTCATTATATGACAAACTATTCGGTTAGTAAAAGAATATTGACTTAGAAATCTTAATAAGATAATCATTCCTCTGTTTACTCTATATACCTAACTTCTACACTGGTGAATACAGTGGAAAGTATTAAAAAGATATTTGTTTTTATACCTTTTTTGTGAAATAACCCTTAGAATGAATCATAGCGGTGAAAAGTTCATGCTCCACTACGAATAATACCATACTGACTTAGGTATCACGAGATCTGTTTCAGTCACTTCTTTGGTAACATTTATTGTATCTCTATGAATTGATTTCCTGAAATGTAAATCTACTTCATTTCACTAACTAGATGAATTTTTATGCTGCAATCTTTACATTATATTAGAATCATTTCGAACTGAATAAAATTAGTGGGAAAAATGACACCAGGTGAAAGGGTAACTGGATTCGAACAAATACATTGGTTGTAGCACATAAACATCATGATTTCAACTGAAACTTCTAATATATCTACATCTTACAGGTAACAAACTTTAGTATCAGTTATCTTTGAGAGTTATATCTCATTGATCCACGCAGTCAACTTCCGATCAGTGGGTCGTGCGTTCAAACTTTCTTCCATCTATCAAGATTTAGGCAACCAGGTAGTATCATTAACTACTACTACTATTCTTTCTTAGAGATTCTATGCTAGCCATACAGATAACGTCACATAATTAAGAAATAAAACAATAAAATTTTTAAAAAAGATTTTCTGTGTTTATCGTTATAGATCACTCTGGCAGAGTTTACAGGCTTATCAACGACCATTGACTGAGAAACAATTGAACATTGAACACAACTTAGTTTGCAGTGATAAAACAACAGATTCTTTTGTACATAATGAACAATTATTTATACGTGGTGCTAATGTTATTTTGGTACGGATTTTATCAAACACATAAAGAGATATAAAAGTTTTGTTTTACTTAATGCATGGGTGAACAGAATAGATAGGTATCAGTGGATTGAGTGACTTGTAAAATATTGATGTTGATCGACTTATAGAGTTGTACTAAGTATTCAACTTGCTGAATGTGAAACAAGTTGGGGGTACGGACGAATGCCAATCGATGACAATAGACGATTGCCGTACTATACTTAGAAATGACAGAGGTAAGGAAGAGTAGATCATTGGATTGGACGCAGTGAAAGTTAATGGTAGCGCGCTTGCTTCGAAACCTGATGCTGAGGAGTTTCAAGCTAGGACGAAACAGTTTTTCACTGTTCTCAAGTTTTTATTGGTTCTTCAACCTATGTCAATCATGATCAAAACTACTTTGAAATCTATGAGTTCTGTAGAATAACTATTTGCTTAAATTAAGTGGCAAATATTCATTATAAAATAGTTGTCTCAGGATTTTTTCGATGCTAGAGATTCGAATATCTAGTGAGTGTGGTTTCATGAATGCATAAAAGTGTATGTAAGTGATACTGTAGTGGGCGTTGCTGTTAAGAATGAATATAAGTAGTATATGTTGAGAGGGCAGCAGAAATAATAAGGGGTTACCAGCAATGAGTAAAGATTCTGCCAAAAGACAACGCGAGCATATGAAGAGTGAATGAAGCACATTTTGGAAATGACTGTCTTAGTGCAAAGGTGTACCATATTAAACGACTACTGTACCACATGTTAATAATGAAGATTCCTTCCTTCGTCTCTGTCTTCTCGTTTCCTTCAATTGGTGTCGCTGCCTGGATCCCGGACACCCACCAGCTCCGTGACCGACTACGAAGTCCCTGAGGAAGACCTTGATGTCTCCAACACTGCAGGCCACGGAATCGTCATCACGTCCAGAAGCAGAGACATTAATTGAAGGAAACGAGAGGACAGAGACGAAGGAAGAAATCTTTATTATTAACATGTGGTACGGTAGTCGTTTAATATGGTACACCTTGCACTAAGACAGTCATTTCCAAAATGTGCTTTATTCCTTCTTCTTCTCTCTTGATTTGCTCTCCATACGCCCGTATTGTCTCTTGGCAGAATATTTACCCATTGCTGGTAATTCCCTATGATTTCTGCCGCCCTCTCAACATATACTACTTATATCCATTCTTATCAGCAACGCTCACTACAATACTTGCTTGGGAGTATATATAACAGCTAATCCCTAAGTTCAAATATTTTCTAGCTGATACAACAAACAGGATTCGACTTTTAGTGTCATTCATTGCATGGGGACATTTACTACTAAACGCGGTCGTTGAAAGTTATCTTGTCGTAGCTCCTAGCTTTTGCAGGTTCATGTCGGAACTATTTGCACATCTGACTTTTGACAGTCATAAGAATGATGTGGTGATACTAGAGATATGTTGGGTTGGTATATGTTGTCTGGACCTCCTAAGATGTACTTATCTTCATTGTCACTTCAATCAAGTACTCATACACCTACCTAAATACACTTACTTTCCAATTAAAACTACCTGTTCACAGGTAATGACAAATGCAGACGGAGAATTCTGGTCGTTTAAAGAAATTTAGCACAGCTATTGTGTAAAATGCAATAAACACTTTCTGTAACGAACAACCAAGTCACGAAATACCATTCCATTTGTTCATGTATTGCAATAAAGGGCTGAATATACTGAGGTTTTCACACTACCATTAAAATTTCCTTCAGTGTTGACTCAGCAATGTTACTTGTGGCGAAGGCAAGTAAGAATGTTAAAATCAAATATTGGAATCTGGTAATTGTTTTTACAAACTAAGAAACACTTCTTTTTCTTAGATGATCGATTGATTGCTGGGTACAGTCTTTTTGAGCAATTCATAAAAAGCCTACATGGAATGAGCAACTGACAAATTTCTACAGCAGACGGTACCCATTGGTAGGAAGAGAAATTCAATTACATCCCTTTATACTAGCATACGACGTGTTTGCAGCTCAGATGCCACTGATGAGGAGGTGAGCATTCGATTGAAAACGGATAACCACCTCATTTTACAACAAGTCAAAAAACCCAAGATATGACTAAAGGTCAGTATCCTAAAAAATACTACATATGTACCTTAAGTTCAAAGGTGATCTAACTGCTGACATCCTAATGAGAAGCATTTCCAGCTCTATGAAGAGAACGTTTTTGCAGGAAATCTGAGAACAGCATTCTCTAATAGCCCTTAATTTAGAAGTAAACCAAAAGACAAGATCACGTGTCTGGCCACCTTTAAGCGTCCCTCCTGTGGAGTTGGGTATGTTGGTTGTTTGTCGCGTGTCCTATCCAGAAGGGTTCAGAAATGATATCCTGTGTGGCTAAAAAAAGTCAGTACTAGATCTATGAAAAGTGCATTGATAGGACACCTTGTTGACACACGTCATTCAGTCTAAACAATTATCTCTTTTAAAGTTATTTACAAAGAGAAAAAAAACTTGACAAATTCAGTGTGTACAATCTTCATTTGTAATACTGGAACTTTAGCTTTGCGTACACTTGAAACTTTCTCAACGCCTTCTCGTTTTTTTTCTTCAACGTTTCAAAACATCCTCTTTTCTAGATCTCTAATTCTATTCATTTCTTACACATCAACTATTCTTTGTTTCTATACTCAGCTTGATAACAGTTTACTCATTCAATATTTTTTTCATGTCATTCAATTCGTTATACAAGCTTAATTATCTTCATTAGATTTTCATGATATCTTAACCAATACTTACTAATCTTAATAACTTTAGATTCTTAGGTCATAATAGCAGAATTTTGCTTATTACTAGGCTTTTGGTTACTTTTCAACATTCATAAACATTTTGAAAATGATATTTCGATTTTAATATATGCATTACTTTACTTGTATTTATATGAGAGTAAAACTTGAGCACTGTGGTAGAATCCAATCTCATTTTAATTGATTTATTATATTTATCATACAGTGAAGGAATAGTATTCTTTACTGGATTACATTTCGGATATAATTTATTGTCCAAAGTCATATTAAGGTTAAGACATAACTGTGAAACATCTTTTATATAGTGTTAATTTCCTCGGCCTCTTTGTGATACGAGCAGTAAGATTTTCTATATATCCGGAACAGGTGCTGAGTCAGTCCTGATGCTGCATTTATTCGATGTTGGTTCGATAAACAAACATTCAGTTGTCAGTCTCACCATCCACCCCGCTAGGTTAGTTTTAAGAATTTTTACCGTGTCTCATCTTATTGTTTGATTGTGTGTAATTTCACGCATAGCTATAGTTGAGCTTTTTCTAAATTCCTTTACCTTACTAAAATCTAACAATTTGACCTAGCTAGGGTTTTGTGCTTAGGTAGCCTAATTAAACGACCCTAGTCGACTACTTTGATCTATGTATTTGACCTCGTAGCAAGGGATTTGGTAAACTGAGTTATTCTGCTCAATAGGATACTCTAATCTACAAAGCTTAACTCTAAGTGAGTTTATAGGTTTAAATGCCATTCTAATCCCAATGGTAGCCTTCTTGATAATCTTACGTAGTGTTTCTGAGGTGCTTTCTTTGTATGGTAATACAGTAGAGGTTTTGAATTCTGTCTTCGCTACTATTAATAACATTATTAGTACTACTAGTAACTCATATTTTTTTCTTACGGTTTTTAAAGAACTTATCAATTAATTTGGGAGAGTAATCATTGATGAGTAAAGTATTTCTGGTGTATCTGGTATTCTATTCTCATTTTCTGAGTAACTGCAAACATTGTCTTAATTTGAGAAGTACAAAACTTGATGGCTTGCGTTAAGGAGGATATTCTTCAGGGACATCACTGATAAGGTAGATGCAGCGGAAACTGAAAATCTTTGACTTGCCCTTACTTCTTTGTAATTTGAAAAGTGTGAAGACATCTAACGTTGTATTTACAATGATACAGTTTCTACCTGAAATGTATAGTCTATTTTTAAAGTGAATGTCATTATAAGTATGATACCAAGTAATTGGCTTCTTTTAGCTTACCATACCGTTTTTATCAATTCACTAACCGCATTCTAGCCTTCATTTTAGAAGAGTATCGGGAACCAGTTGTTTGAGCTTCCATATGTATTAGTGTGCGAATAATTTTTAGATTCTGCTTAGTTAAGTGAATTGCTACTGACCAACTTTATGATGAACAGAATTTTAGCTGATATTATTGAACTTGGATGACAGTATAAACTTGTTTTATTAGTAGTTTACATTAAGCTTTTAAGATATCTTCAGAGGTGAATGAAATCAGCATACACCCTGCACAATTTTCCATTTTGCTAACAGCTGTGTTACAGTAAATGCCTGATGTGACTGCCAATCTCATTCCAGTTGACTATTGTGAACATCAAACGTTTTAGTTTCTCAGTACATTTTAACATCAATGGCTTACGTGGACCATCTCGTAATATCTTAACAAGTACTTATCATTCGAGTTACAAGAAATAATAGTTTCCTTTTTTTTATGGCATCTTCTAATTGCAACTATTACTGAATGGGAGCTTGCAATCGACCTAAGCCGAATCTCGAGTTTTACTTGCTCGAAGGAGTCATACTATGTGTGATCAATTTCCTCACAGCTAAATTTTATAAGGGTGTTAAAAAAGCGATACCAAGCTAATACTCAAACATAACTCCATATGATCACTCTACAATGAGTGTTAATCATGTATAAATCCACACGATTCTTTTGTCGTCTATTGAAGTTATAGCTTATGTTATTGAAAAGCTTCATCACAGTTGACTGTGCTTAGAGTTAACATCCATTAGAATATATATTACAGCACCTGGGGATAACTTTTAGCCTTTAGAAGGGTGAGGCTAAAAGCTATCCTCATGTGTTACCGTGTTTGTTATGAGATATAGCGTGCTGTGCGCAAATTCACGCATTTTGTACATTGCGTATCCTTATTTTACCTATTTTTATAGTTTCTAATGCCCCCTCTGTCACTGAATAATGTTTCATGCCTTTTATTCA